TGTTTATAGAAAAATCTGTATGAGAAAATGGTAGAGGAAAAAGGCTTAAAAACAAAGACCTTTATCTTCAAAGTTCTTGACAAATATAATATCTTAGTTACAAATAAAATTAATATTACAGAGACATTAAGGATACAGTTTAATGAATTTTTTCAGTTTGCATATGATTGTAACAATCAAGATATAGGAAGTTCCCTTGTACCCTTCCCAGTCAATGCCACCCCCACATCCATCCCAAAAGCAACCATACATCTGGTTTTTTGTTAGTGGTGGTGGTACTGGTGCTGTTGGCTTTTTGCTTGTTTTGGTTTTTGCTTGCTTGTTTTTTGGTACTGGGGATTGAACCTAGGGATGCTTTGCTATATCCCCAGCTTTTTTTTGATATCTTATTGTGAGACAGGGTCTCACCAAGTTGCTAAGGATGGCCTTCAACTTACAATCCTCCTGCCTCAACCTCTGGAGTTGCTGAGATTACAGGCATATGCTGTTCCACTGCTCTGTTCTCACTAAAATTTAGATTTGTTGTTTCTAAAGTTGCATGTAAATAAAATCATAAAGATGTACTCTTTTCAAGATTATGTTGGCTAATTTTAGTTGTGACTGTCTTCATTCATTCAGCATGTTTTTGAGATTCATCCTTGTCATTTTGTGTGTATCTAATTCATTCCTTTTATTGCTGAGTACTAGGTCCATTGTATAAATACATTACAATTCATCAGTTTATCTCTTGATGGGCATTGGTATCATTACGTGTGGGATTATTATGAATAGAGCAGCAGTGAACAAGTCTTTGTGTGGAACTGTATTTCATGTTAGGAGGGTAAATACTTAAAGAGTAGAAATGCCGGGTGCGGTGATACATGCCTGTAATCCCAGTGGATCTGGAGGCTGAGGCAGGAGGATTGCAAGTTCAAAACCAGGCTCAGCAACTTAGCAAGACCCTGTCTCAAAAAATAAAAAGGGCTAGGGATGTGGCCCAGTGGTTCAGTGCTGAGTTCAGTCTCGGGTACAAGAAAAAAAAAAAAAAAACATGGCTAGATCATATCATTAATATAGGTTTAACTGCTAACCTGTTTTCCAAAGTGGTTGTACCATTAAACATTACAGCCAGCAATGAGAGAGAAACTGAATTCCTCCCCATTCTTTGCAATACTTGTTAGTCTTTTTAATTCTAACCATTCTGGTAAGTGAGTAGTATACAGTGTCATTTGCATTTCCTTAATGACTAAGCAGGTTGAACAGTTTTTTGTATGCTAATTGATCATTCATGGATTGCTATTTCACATGCCAATATGTCAACTTTTTTCTTTTATTACCATAAAAGCTTGTGTGCTTTTGTGCCCTTATGTAATGTTTGCCTAGTCCAAGGGGACCAATATTTTTCTTTTTTCTTCTAGAAGCTTTATGGTTTTAGCTCCTAGGTATAAATCCAGGATCCAGTTAATCTAATTTTTATATGTGGTGTGAGATCAGCAAAAAGTTTCTTTTTCTTTTTCTTTCTTTCTTTCTTTTTTTTTTTTTCTTTGTGGATATTCACTGTTGCAGCATCATTTGTTGAAAAGGCAATCTGTTCCTCCATTGAATTATCTTAGTGCCATTCTTGATATTTGTGTTTCTTGACTCTCTATTTTGGTCTACTGATTTAGATTTTTGTCCTTAAATCAAAGCCACGCTATCTTGATTACTATTACACCTGTTGAAATTCAGTAATATGAGTTCTCCATCTTCTTTATATTTTTTCAAGATTATGTTGGCTAATCTTAGATCCTTTGCATCTCTATAAAAAATTTTTAAATCAGTGTGTCAATTTGCCTGCTAAGATTTTGATTGATATTGTACTAACTCTGAAGATCAATTTAGAAAAAATGAACATCTTAACAATATTGAATCCAATTTAAGAACATAATATGTCCCCATTTATTTAAATCTTTTTAAAATTTTCCTTAGTATTGTTTTATAGTTTATAGGTATTATACATTTTGTAAAACTTTATTCCTAAGTATTATGTATATTTTTGTGTACTTGGTTTTCACAAACACATTTTAAAAAGTGAAAGGAGTATTATGGTTACTTTTAGGATGGCTGGTGACCTAAAAAAGGACAAAAAAGAGGACATTATGAGGTTTGGGATGATGTTTCTTGATCTCAGTACTGACTACATGGGTATGTTCACTTCATGAAAATTCATTGAGCTGTACACTTAAGATTATACATGCATATATAAATACACGCACATATACACTTATCAATACTTTGATTAAAAAATTAAATGAAAAAGCACATAAAACGAGACGAGAAAGAAGGATTTAATTTCAACTCCAACAGTGTCATAAATTCATTAGGAGTGTTGAATTTTAAGCTGGGCACAGTGGCATATGCCTGTAAATCCCAGTGGTTTAAGAAGCCGAGGGAGAGGATCACAAGTTCAAAGCCAGCCTCAGCAACTTAGCAAGGCACTAAGCAACTCAATAAGACCCTGTCTCTAATAAAATATTTTAAAAGGCCTGGGAATGTGACTCCATGGCTAAGTGCCCCTGGGAATGTGACTCCATGGCTAAGTGCCCATTGCCCCAAAAAACGTGTTGAATTTTGGCTGGGGATGTAGCTCAGTGTTGGAGTGTTTGCTTAGTATTTGGGAGGCCCTGGATTCAATCCCCAGCTCCACACAAAAAGAAGATTGGTATATTGAGCACTTTGCTGTGTGCTAGGTGATATGCTGAACATGCTTTTCATAAGTTTTTTTATTGGATCCTCATGAAAAGCTAATGAAATAGGTCCTATTATTATTCCCCATTTTACAGATGAGGGAAACAGAGGCATAGAAAGATAAAACTGAACTCCTCCCTATTCTTTGCAAGATCAAATTTTTATTCCATGTTACACAGCCGGTATTTTGAGAAGCTAGAATTTGAGACTGGTCTTTTACTCCATGGCCAAAGCTTTTAAAACAATACATTATGGGGTCACGATTAAGAGTAGCTCATTGGAAGGTGATAATGGATCTCAGCTGTGTGTCTCTCTATAAAATGAATTACTCTTTTGAGGGGGTAGTGACCAGAATGTAACACTAGCCAGATAACAGTTCACAAATATGTGAAATCTCAGTTTACTCCTCATTTCTAATAGCCAGTTTTTTAAAAGTCCCATTCATGATTTAATCACTGGAAGGTATAAAAAACAGCTGAATGTTAGCTCCTGCAGTAGGATAACCAAACTTAAGTTCTTAAGGCAGTTTTATCTATTAGTCTGCAGGCATGTCTCCCATGATTATATATATTTTTTGCTGAGTGTTACTTTTTGTCGGTGACATTTCTGGTCTTTAACCAGAAAACATTACTCAGGTAGCACCCAATTTGGGTCCATTTCCACCTTTTAAGAGTCAAAAAATATATAAGCAATAATAAAGTAGGAGTTTGGGTTGTTGGGATTAGAAGTGGCATTTGGCCACTTGTAAACTCACCTGCTTCTTAGCTCTCCAAATTTTCAGAATACATTTGATGAGCTTTTCTTTGCTGAGATATAAATAACAACCTACACAAAAAACAGCCCCAAAATTCCCCAAGGCCTATGTCCAACAAGGTTCTTATTAATCATTTTTAGTCTGTATCATAGACAACAGTGGCATTTGTGCTACAAAAACTCTAACTGTGCACAGGAGGGCTTGCTGTTTACAGGTGTCAGCTCTTGCCTTGTAAACAGAATGGCTTTCATGCCATTTTTGAAAATACACTTTCAGTTGTATATCAGGAAGCACTTGTAAAGAGGTCTGCATAGAGGATTTAATGTTTAGAAAATAAAGCAAGCAAAAAAAGAAAAAGAAAGAAAGCACACTAGTGCCTTAATTAACAGAAGTAGATTATCAAAATTTGATTCATAAATGGCACATCCAATATGTCTAAACAAGAATGAACTTGATAGTAACATGGCTTTCTCTGCTGAATTGTACTAAATTATGGTTATCCTCTATAGAAAATCATACTGTTTTCAGAGTAGCAAATCAAGTTTCTTTTGGTTTCATGATCTTCTCTTAGTGTCCTCCAGCTTCATACTTGGGTGCAATCCTTGACTCCATTTCTTTTCCCATACTCATATCCAATCTATCAACATGTTCAGTTGGATCTGCCTTACAAAATGTTCAAAGAATCCCAATTATTTCTCTTCATCTCTGTAGCTACCACACTAGTCCAAAAGATTTATCTCTTCCATGGACTGTTGAAGTTGTCTCTTAATTGGCTTCCTTATGCTAATCTCTACACAGGGTCCTCCACTGTGCTTTTTTTACTCTCTGGCTTTTGAGTGCTTTTCCCTGTGGTCTGTCTTTGTGCGTAGCTTCATCCTCTGCAACTCCCTCTGACAGGGCAGCCTGATTTTCTTACATAGTAGCTCAAAACTCTTAAGAAGAAATAAGCAGAAGCACGAGGGCTTAGAAGTTCCTGGGTGGTACTGTCTCCACATTCTGTTAGTCGAAGTTCAAATTTGAAGGATAGGACATAAATTTTACTCTTACTGGGAAGGGCAACATTCTTGGAGAAGGAGTACTGGAATTGTTTGGGTACATGTTTGGAGATTTGTTAGCACCACCTAAATGACCTAAATGATAAGCTCAACTACTTCTTCAGCCTTATTTCTTCTTGCTCATTTAAGAGAACCACACCAGGCCCTCTTTTTTTTTTTTTTTTTAATTTAAGTTGTAGATGAATACAATACCTTTATTTTATGTATTTATTTTTCTGTGATGCTGAGGATCAAACCTAGTGCCTCACATGTGCTAGGCAAGTGCTCTGCCACTGAGCCACAACCCCAGTCCATACCAGGCCCTCTTGACCCTGCCAGTCAAACTGCCTCCCAGGACTTGCTCTCAAAATTCCCTTCGTCTACACCATTGTTCTCACAAGTAACAAAATGTCTAGTTCCCTTAGTTCACATGTCACCTCTTTAGGAAAACTCTGACCAGGTAGCTTATTTTTTTAATTGCCACATAACAAATTATCATAAACATAGCAAGTTAAAACAACATCTTTTTATTAGCTTTTGGTTCTGTAGGTCAGAAGTCTGGCACAGACAGCATGGATGTGTTCTCTACTCAGTATCACAAAGCTGAAATCAATCAGGGTGTTGGTTAGGCTGAGTTTTCTTCTGGAAGCTCTGGGGGAAAGTTTTTTCATCTCATTCTTGTTTTGGCAGGCTTCAGTTACTTGTCATTGCAGGACTGAAGACCTCACTTCCTCACTGGCTATCAGCAGGGATGCTGGTGTTAGCTCCTAGAAGCTGACCACATTCTTCTTGCCACATGTTTCCCTTCCTCTTCTGCAATCAGTTGGAGAAAACTCCCTGCATTGAAAGGCCTCATGAGATTAGGTTAGACCCACTTGAGTCATCTTCCTTTTTTTTTTTTAATTGCTGATAGACCTTTATTCATTTATTTATATGAGGTGCTAAGAATTGAACCCAGTGCCTCACACATGCTAGGCAAGCGCTCTTCCACTGAGCCTCAGCCCTAGCCCTTCACCTTCCTATCTTAAGGTCAACTGATTTGGGTCCTTATTTTAATCACAATAGTACCTACACCACTGCTTGTTTGAATAACTAAGGGGAAGGTATGTATATAACAGGGGACAAGAATCTTGGGAGACCATCTTAGAATTTTTCCTATCATAACATCTCCTTTTTTTTTTCCTGTTCCCTTGTTCTGCTTTATTTTTCTTCACAGCATTATCTGTGTTATATTTTCTATTTATTTGCTTATGTTTTTAATGTGCCTCCTAAACTAGATTCTAACTTCATGATGATAGAGACTGTCATTTTTTGTTCAGTGTTATATTTTTAGCACCAAGGACAGTGATTGTCTCACTGTGTAAACTCAGTAAATACTTACTGAATGAATTAATTAATAAAATAGACTTTGTGGCATATAATTTTGATGACTGTGAAGATAGAATTTTGGGAAGGAAAGGGGTAGATTGAGCATTCGAGTGTTATTTAAGTTTATGTCCAAAGGTACCACAGTCTGACAATACTAATTGGTCTTTATTTGACTCTTAAATTTAAGTTATGAGCAAGTAATTGTCTAAATGTCCAATAACTGCTTTATATAAGAAAAAGCAAATTAGTCAGACATGGTGAGGCATGCCTATATTCCAGCAACTCAGGAGACTGAGGCAGGAAGATCTCAATTTCAAGTCCAGCCTCAGCAACTAAGTGATATCCTCAGCAGCTTGGTGAGTCCATGATTCAAAATAAAAAAAATAAAAATGTTTGAGGATATAGCTCAGTGGAAAAGCTCCACTGGGTTCAATCCCCAGTATCCGTCTACCCGCACCACCCCCAAAAAGCTAATTTGCTTTTCTTTCTTCTTCTTTTTTTTTTTTTAAAGAGAGAGTGAGAGAGGAGAGAGAAGGGGGAGAGAGAATTTTATTCTTTTTAGTTCTTGGCGGACACAACATCTTTGTTGGTATGTGGTGCTGAGGATCGAACCCGGGCCGCACGCATGCCAGGCGAGCGCGCTACCGCTTGAGCCACATCCCCAGCCCGCTTTTCTTTCTTCTTGTCTTCCTGAAATACACCTGATTTACCACCTTAGTGTGGTGTTTCTGAGACTTTCTATGTAATAGTTGTTCACATATGTCCAATACCACCAAAATAACAGAGTGGGCTCAATCATAAAGGCATAATATGGTATGCCAGACCAGAAAATTATATATATTTCTCTGATTTTCAGTACTTTCTGTTAATGTTTCTTTTATCCCTCCCCTTCCATAGACAAAACTTGCCAATGGCACTTCCAGTATGATCGTACCCAAGCAACGGAAACTCTCTGCAAGCTATGAAAAGGAAAAGGAACTGTGTGTCAAATATTTTGAGCAGTGGTCAGAGTCCGATCAAGTTGAATTTGTGGAACATCTTATATCCCAAATGTGTCATTACCAACATGGGCACATAAATTCATATCTTAAACCTATGCTGCAAAGGGATTTCATAACTGCTCTGCCAGGTATGTGTACATGTATTTGCAAACTATTAATTTGCTACAGAATTGGATCTTCAGCCTTTTATTTCTCTTTTTTAAAGTCTTCATTGGCTTGATTTTTACAAAGTAAGTCCTTTAATTGTACCCTCTTGGTAAAAATACAAGAAAAATCAAATTCAAGAGAAATTGGACTCCTCTTTTTCCCTGTCTTTTGTTTATCTTGTGTCCTTCTGTTCACCCTTTTTTACCTATATGCGGTAGGTCCAAATTAAATATTTTCTGAGGTGTTATCTGACACTTGAGGTGTGTCTTTGTAATGTGTTTTACTCCCAAGAAATGTTAACTTAGGCCAGGCACAGTAGCGCAGGCCTGTGATCACAGTAGCTCATGAGGCTGAAGCAGGGGCATCCTCCTTCAAAGCCAACCTCAGCAATTTAGCAAGGCACTAAGCAACTCAGTGAGACCCTGTCTCTAAATAAAACATAAAAAAGGGCTGGGGATGTGACTTAGTGGTTAACTGCCCCTAAGTTCAATCCTCGGTACCAAAAAAAAAAAAATTGTTAATATAGGCTGGGGAGTAGAGTGCTTGCCCAGCATGCACAAGGCCATGGGTTTGATCCCCAGCAACATGAGGAAAAAACAGATATATTAATTTATGTACTTATATTTCAATTTCTGTGGGAATTTACCAACAGAATGTTTTAATTCTAGAGTGAATGAGAAGCTTTTTATTTTTATTTTTAGTATTTTAGAAAGAAGGAGGGGCTAGGGATGTGGCTCAGTGGTAGAACACTTGCCTAGAATGTACAAAGCCCTGGATTGGAGAAGAAAAAGAAAAAAAAGGCGGGGGAGGTGGATTGGTAGAAAAGAAGATATATCAAGAGCCTGTTATGATAATAAATATATATTTATATTTCAAATATGATACTTGTTATACTTTTGGAGGATGCTGTAATTTTTCTGAATTCTTAAAGATGATTTAGAATACAACAAAGCATCAGTATTAGAGGAAAATATTCTCAGAAAAACATGAGGTTCTTATTTGTATGTGTTAAAATTTTATTTTGAAAGAAAACTAATAACAAAGATAGAGTCTTAACCAAAATGTCATGTCTTGCTGGACTTAGTGGCGCACCCTTTCAATCCCAGCAACTCAGGAAGCTAAAGCAGGAGGATCCCAAGTTCAAGGCTAGCCTCAGCAACTTAGCAAGAACCTGCCTCAAAATATAAAATAAAAAGGGCCAGGGGTATCACTTAGCAGTAAAGTTCCCCCTTGGTTCAATTCCCAGTACTAAATTAATTAATTTTAAAAATGTCTTGTTTGGGGGGGGATTTGCTTTTATATTTTTTGTTTTGGTTGTCATTTCCTGATTATAGAACTTAGGAAATTCAGGAAATATTTAAATGTAAAATGTAAAAATATTGGGCTAGGGTTGTGGCTCAGCAGTAGTGTTCTCGCCTAGCAAATGTGAGGTCCTGGGTTCGATCCTCAGCACCATATAAAAACAAATAAAATAAAGGTATTGTGTCCAACTACAACTAAAAAATAAATATCTAAAAATAAATATAATATAATATAAAAATATAAAATTTCCGAGGCTAGGGTTGTGGCTCAGTGGTAGAGCACTCACTTAGCAAGTGTGAGGCGCTGAGTTCGATCTTCAGCACCACATATAAATAAATAAAATAAAGATACTGTGTCTACCTACAACTAAAAAAAAAAATATTTTGAGTAAAATAAAATTTCCCAGAATCCCAATATACAGAGAGAACTATTAATATACTATTAGTGTATACGGACATAATACCTTTATTTTGTTTATTTTTGTGTTTTGTTGTTTTTTTATGTAATGCTGGGGAATGAACCCAGTGCCTTGCGTATGTATGCAAGACAAGTGCTGTATCACTGAGCCACAACCCCAGCCCCTTAATATAGATCTTTTTCTTTTTGTTGTTATTTGTTTTAATACTGGGGGTTGAACACAGGGGCACTTTTTCCACAGAGTCATATCCTCTTTTTTTTTTTTTTTTTTTTTTTTTTTGAGATGGGGTCTTACTAAATTGCTCAGGGCCTTGCTAAGTTGATAAGGCTGACCTCGAACTTGAGATCTTACTGTCTTAATCTGTCGAATTTCTGGGATTACAGGTGTATGCCACTGTACCTGGCAATATATTCTCTCAGTGTATTTTCTTTAAAAAAAAAAAAACAACTATGTATTTAATCTCTTTGTTGAGCATTTAGATAGTTTCAGTGTTTTTTTCCCCATTAAAAACTAGGCCATGGTGGACATTCTTATATCTTAATCTTGTGGGCATCCTAGGAAAGAAATTATAGCAGCAGAACTACTATATTAAAGAGTGTGAACATTTTCCATGCTTTTAGTATATACTAACAAGCTATCCTTTAATAATATACCTTCCTTTAGCCTCACTACATACTACTTTGTTTAATCTTTGCCTACTATATATTTTTTTAAATTTTGTTTTTCTAAACTTGGGATTTAAGCTGTCCTTCAAAATTAAAGGAATACTTAGAAATCTTAGAAATATTCACTTTAAAACTGAATTTTACGTGTATGTGCATGTGTGTGTGTTGAACATGCGTGTTCCTTGCAGTACTGGGGTTTGAACCCAGAGCCTTACACATTCTAGGCAAGCACTCAATTACTGAGCTACATTTCCATCCCTTTTAAATTTTGTTTTGAGGCTGTAGGCTGGCCTCAAACTTGTGTTCTGCTTTCCTCAGCCTCATGCACCACTTTCCTGACTTACCTGTGTCTTTTGTTAAATAGAATAGATTTTTGCCCTCACATAGTGCATTAGATTTTGTTTTAGCCATAAGCAAACAGTTTTCTTTGTACAGACAATCTGAAAGTACCTATTACCTTGTTCTCCCCAATCACTGAGTCTTGCTACCATCTCAAGTTTAATACCACTATGAATTGACTAGGAGTTGATAAGACTTATGTCTTTTGTCTAATACTGATCCCTAGTGTATATCTGCTGACCAATCTATGAAGTACTAAATCATCAGTCTAATGCTTTATAGCCATTTAAACTTCTAAGCCTACACCATCTGGCTACATTTAGTAAACCAAACTACTTCCCAAACTGTCTGTAATCCATTAATGTAATGGTTTTATTTGGAGTGTTAGGTGAAATTACTTCCAAAGACTTATTATAGGTACAAGTAAATGATTAGGAGCAGTTTGATGGCAGCCATGAAAAACAGCAGTGCCTTTTGGAAACTTCTGATGGTGTAGAAAGTTTCAGAATAAAGATTCAGGAATTGTACTATTACTGCATCTTGCATGAAGAACTAATTATTATATTTTTAATTGTCTTATAGTCATTCCTTTAATAACAATTAGATGAAGGATGCCTCCATCTGCTTATTCTTAAATATGAACATGTGATGCCAGCCAAATAAGATCCATTTAATGCTTTTTTCCCAAGTCTGCTGAAAAATGTAACTGATATCCAGACGATTTTTATAATTAGAATAATGTTTAATAAGCATATTTGGATCATTGCTAATGGCATCCAAGTATGCCTGTGTATGATTCAATGCACAAAATGAAATACAGTATTCTCTTTCCTTTTATGTTTGTGCCTATGGGAGATAGAGTCTGAAGGAATCCTTCTCAACTTTTAAGTCTCTAGCAAACCTCTGATACGTAACCTGTAAAGATTAATTTTTAATGTTTTTGGTCTCTTACTTGTGAACTTAGAACAGCAGCCAAAAGGAGGTTTATTAGTATAGTCATCCTGTTTTATAGGCTATTTTCTACTGAGGCCTCAGTATAGATTTGAGCGGTAAAGAACTTTAATCGGAAAGCCCTCCACTTTTCACAGATGCACTTGTCACTATTTTCCTTTGCACATCCAAAATTTAACCAAGTTATCTATTGAGCTGGGATTTTTTTCCCCCCATTTTGGTCAATTGTTACTTAGGTTTTATAGCACTAGCTATTCTCAAATACAACTTTTTAAAAATCTGAAATTAAACTTATCTTTGAACTTAAACATAGTTCTCTTTTCTCTCAGAATGTTCCCCCTCCTCTCTTTTCTGCATTCCCAAAATTCTATAACCCAGCACATTCTGACTAAGTGACTCTCCCCCAGTATATTTAAAGGATATTTCTTTTACGGAATAGCTTTGGAACTACAGCAGTAATAGAAACAGAATGAGAAATGGACCTAATATAGATATTTGGGGCGGGGAGGGTCTGAATCATAGAGTTTGAGATGCCATCCATAGAACATCCCCTAGTGCTGAAATCCATATAGATAGATGTGAATTGTTTTCTGGAATCCTTTTTATTTTTAATGTCTTGCGGGGTTTGCTGGTTGTTAGCTTCCTTATCTGAAGGAAGATGGAAAATACTGTTCATTTCTGTAACCTTATGGAAAAATTATTGACATTCATTTTACCCAAGCCTCTGTTTGAAAAAGAAACTGGACTACACTAGGGACAGTGTGCCTTCATTGCAGAGCAAATGCTGTTCTGTTTTAAAGAACCTTTTGTAAAAATGATTCACCATCCCCACTATTTTGCTTTGCCTCTTCTCCCCGTTGAAAGCTCGGGGATTGGATCATATTGCTGAGAATATTCTGTCATACTTGGATGCCAAATCACTTTGTGCTGCTGAACTTGTGTGCAAAGAATGGTACCGTGTGACGTCGGATGGCATGTTATGGAAGAAGCTCATCGAGAGAATGGTCAGGACAGATTCTCTGTGGAGAGGCTTGGCAGAACGAAGAGGGTGGTGAGACTTTTAAATTTCTTCCTATTAAAGAACTTCCAGACCTGACCATTCATGATCACTAGAAGAATGTTGGAAACTAGTGAGACCACTTACCATTTAATATAGTGATTTTGCTGATTCACAGCTAAAAATGTAAAAAGTAAATGGTTGTTCATGTACTCAGCAATTTTACTTCTGACCAATCATTCATAAAATAACATAATGTAGTGTTAGTATTGCTTTGCAAAAATAATGGAAAATTGACCTCCCTCTCATTTGAAGCATTCTGATTTCTGGATAGAAATTGGTATTCTGTAGATGGGCTGATGGGCAGTTTAAAAGGTGACTTTGGATCACAAAAAAACCATCAGATCCAGTTTTCCCCTAACATAATATAAGACAAATTATTATTTTGTCCTTCAGAAGATTTCTTGCCTTTAGCCTATGCCTGTGTTTTATTCACTTTTGTGATCAAAACTTATTTTTATGCCTAGCTAGAATAAGAAAAAAATTAGCCATCAGGAAAAATTAAAAATAAATAAATAAATGTTTCTTCTTAAGGCTTTCTTGCTTATTATACATTCCCTGAGACTTTATATAGATAGCAGACTGAAAGATTTCACCAATTTTTTTTTTGTAGTTCTCTTAACATCATGGTACTATTTCACTAGAACTTTGGGAAGATTTCTTTCTTGAAAAAACTTTCTTCTAATAGTATGTCTCTAGATGTCCCTGTAAGAAAGTCAAATATGAATATTTCATAAATAAAATGTGACATTTTGAGTATTTAGTTGATATGAAGAAACTATAATAGGCATGTGTGTACTCAGTGATATTCTTCCAAATTAATTTTCTAAGTTGTTTATCTTGAATCATAAAGAGATACAAAATAGTTAAGAATGGAGAATACTTTTAAATGATTCATACTCACATAAATCAGATTTCCTTTGGGGCTGGAGATGTGGCTCAGTGGTAGCGCGCTCACCTGGCATGCGTGCGGCCGGGTTCGATCCTCAGCACCACATACAAACAAAGATGTTGTGTCCACCGATAACTAAAAAATAAAATATTAAAATTCTCTCTCTCCCTCTCTCTTAAAAAAAAATCAGATTTCCTTAAATTTTTCATAAAAATATATTTAGCTCCCTTTCATTTTTTTATATTTTTGAAATTCAGTAAAAATTTAATAAATATAATGACTTATAAATATTATACCAGGTACTTCAGAGATTTCTTTATTCTGGCTGTTAGGAAGAATTTTTAAATTTTTCTCTCAGGGCCTGGGGCTATAGCTCAGCAGTAGAATGCTTGCCTAGCACATGTGAGGCCCTGGGTTCAATCCTCAGCACCACATACAAATGAATAAATAGAATGAAGGTATTTAAAACAATTTTTCTCTCAAATTCAATTAAATGAACCAAATGCCAGCAATTCTTTGACTATTTAACAATTATACAAAGGAAATTGCTATTTCTTTTTCTCAAATATATTTTTCTTATTTGCCCTTAATTTCATCATGTAGAAAATAGAAACTTTATCTTTCATAATCGACTTCATACTTTGAAAATAAGCTCTTTATTTTATATAGTACAACAAAGCAAATAAGTACATAGTTGTACAAAATTCCAAGTCCATTATTTTGCTGAGAATGCCAGGACCAGTTTTAAAATTTTAGGCAGCTGAGAAGAGTTCTCTATCCCTCAGGAAAAGGAACTCTCCAAAATAACTTGTGACATGAAATTTCAATTGTTGAGATTCATTCTCTTAGTTATAAAAGAATTTGGTTCCTTGTTAAAATTCACTTTGTTCTCATTTGAAGTGTAAATGACACTAAACTTTCATCAGAAATTAGGAGTTAAGTTTTTCTTTGATGGCAGAGTGAACAAGAGGTAAGTGGGCAGTTCTTTGCAGATAAATGTGAAAATACCAAAAGTAAAAAAGTAAGCTGCTCGGTTTTGCTTAGGATTGCATCAAGCAGAAAGACCTTTTATGTCTATTACAAAAACAAACTGTCTTTGAAAAGATGACTTTTTGGCTTTTTAAACAGTTATTTTAAGGTCACGCACAGTGATGCACACCTATAATCCCAGCTACTCAGGAGGTTGAGGCAAGTGGAGCACATGTTGAAGGCCAGATGGGCACACACCCTGTCTCAAAATTTTAAAAATGAGGGCTGGGGTTGTGGCTCAGTGGTAGGGGGTTGCCTAGCATGTGTGAGGCACTGGATTCAATTCTCAGCACTGCATATAAATAAATAAATTAAATAAAGGTCTATCAGCATCTAAAAAATATATTTTAAAAATTAGAGGCTGGGCACTGTGGTGCATGTCTGTAATCCCAGCAGCTGGGGAGGCTGAAGCAGGAGGATCTTGAGTTCAAAACCAACCTCAACAATGATGAGGCGCTAAGCAACTCAGTGAGACCCTGTCTCTAAATAAAATACAAAATAGGGCTGGGGATGTGGCTCATTGGTCAAGTGCCCCTGAGTTCAATCCCCAGTACCAAGGAAAAAAACAGAAAGAAAGAGCTGGGAATGTAGCTCAGTGGTAGAATGGCTTGCATTGCATGTGTGAAGCCCTGGGTTCAATCACCAATATCATAGAGACCAACCAACCAAATAACCAAATAAATAAATAAATAAAATATGCGGTATTAATTACCATTCGTTTTCCTTTCTCTTCAACCATAGTAACTCATTTCTGCTCTTTAGACTATCCTTAAGAATTCTGACTATAGGGCTGGAATTGTAGCGCTGTGTTAGAGCACTTGCCTAACCCGTGTGAGGCACTGGGTCAAAAAACTCATGATTTAAAAAAAAAAAAAAAAGAATTCTGACTATATTTTTTTAATTTTTGGCCCCATTTTCTTTTCTTTTCCATTATAGGGGATTAAACTTGGCAGTGTTATACTACTGAGCTACACCCGTAGCCCTTTTAAAATATATTTTTAGATATAAATGGACACAATACCTTTATTTTATTTATATGTGGTGCTAAGGAAGGAACCCAGTGCCTCATATGTGTGAGGCAAGCGTTCTACCACTGAGCCACAACCCCAGCCTGAGTCACAAATCCAGCCCCACCCACTGCCCTTTTTATTTTTATTTTGAAACAGGGTCTTGCTGAGTTACTGAGGCTGGCCTCAATCTTGCCTTTGCCTCCCAGGTCTCTGGGATTGCAGGCATGGACCATCATGTCTGGCTGTCCTCTCTTTAAAAACAAAAAACAAAGTTTTTTAAATTTATAAACAACTTCTCATTTTTTCTTTTGAAATTATCTTACTAAACTTCTTATAGTAATATACTTTTTTGTTATGCTTTCCCCATATGATATCTTTTGCTTAGGATTGCATCAAGCAGAAAGACCTCCCATTTCTTACAACCAAAAATAAACAAGTACAGTTTTTTGAGTCTGTAAGATTTAACTTCCAGTTTGCTGTTGTATTTTACATCTAGATGGATTTTACAGTCTGTCCCTAGAACATGAACTCTGCCATTTTCTCTCTTGAATAATACTGAATATGCTTTCTCTGCTCAGTAATAGTAACTCCTAAACATATAATAAAAGACCATTTGGGGGGCTGGGGATGTGGCTCAAGCGGTAGCGCGCTCGTCTGGCATGCGTGCGGCCTGGGTTCGATCCTCAGCACCACATACAAACAAAGATGTTGTGTCCACCAAAGATTTCAAATAAATAAATAAATAAATAAATATTAAAAAAAAAAAAAGACCATTTGGGAAAAGTCCATTTTCTTAATCAGCAGATCACATTTATGATAGCATTCTGAATTTAATATTTCAAATTTATCATGTACTCCTATTCTACTGGGCATTTCACATAGAAGTGGTCCCTGTTGTCATCATAAAATAGTTTGACTTAAAATATACAGATTGAAAAGCTAGTTTTCAATATCTATCCACCCCTTTGTATAGCACTTTTGATATGAAAAATTTGGGATGCTTTAGGAATACATGGTAAAGGCTATGGGGTAGAAAATGAGAGAAGAAGTGCATATGAGGTGTTTTTTTTTTTTTCCTGAGGATGTAGAGATAGTATTATTGCTTATAAAAATTCTAGAGTATCCATATATGGTTGCCAGAGACTAAAAGGAAGATCTGAAGAATAGTAGGCATTGAAAAACAATAAAGTAGTTAAGAATATGGGCTCTGGAATCATATCTAAAATTTTCTCATTCAGAATCTATCACTTGCCAGTAGAGTGTTTATAGAATAAAACTGTTTAGAGGAGTGTACCTTTAATCCATAATTATTTCAAAATATATCTTTGCCCTTTTCTATGGGCAACTGTGCCATGTTTCATTATTCCACAAAAATACTATTTTCTCAATTGAAGATTTTCTTCTCTGTAGTAATACAAAAGTCAGAGCCAACTACTTTCCTGATAGGACATTTTCTCAACTAATTTTCAAGGTGTAATAGGAAGGGGGCAGGGGGAAGCACTCCTGGAGACATCAAACAATTAATTATATTGTAATGGAGCTATAGAGGGAGGAGTAGATGACTGGCCCAGAGAAAACATGATTTCTCTTGTGCCAGGATTACACTCGGAGGCATTTCTGCCTGTCTCCACTTTGCAAGGCACGTTGCCAGTGAGAACAGCAGTTAGTACACCCATAGTGGGGTTTACTAGCTTCCACACCGTGTTTGGTGGGTTCTTAACTTCAGAATGAGGAATTAAATTTTTTACCCAGCAGGAAGTGATTGCCATTTACTGATTTTTTTTTTTGGTAGCAAAGATCTAGCTTGGGATATGAGTATTCCAGAGATGTGCTGTCATAAGGAAGGAGATGCTAACAAATGCTGCTCACTGTAATCAAGGAAAGGCAGTATAATGCATGTGTGTGTGTACATAGCCAGGAACACACCTGTGAAAGTCAGTTTCATATCTTTGACTTGACAACACAATGCCATTAGGCTTTTCTTTTTATCTCTTTTGCTTCCTGCTGCTGGACACTCCTGTGATCCCTTTGTTTTCTGTTGAAATGAACTGAATTACTCCATTTAGAGTACAACCACACTGATCAGCAGCATGTGACTGAGCAGCCAACACATCATACCTCACAAAATAAAAACTTGGAAAAGCGATCTTCTGGCAGAAGCATTGCGGCTGCTCACCATGCTGGGCTCCCCTGATGCTGACACAGCTTGATTCAGGGGAAGAAGACTGTGGGGTGTGTGCTGATTCAAAAGTCATAATTACATTACTACAGAGTTTTCAAAAGATAAGGCCAGTGAATCTATACAGAACCCTAAAAGACCAACAGATGAATTCTGATTATACAGTTATTTGCCTATAGAGGTTATAATGTCCAGAAAAGCCTGAAACATGATGGTCTGCACTGGAAATAATTGTGTTTTACCAAAAGCAAATTAATACCAGTCAAATTCCTTAAGAGACCAGAAAGTTACTGCTTGACATGGGATTCCTGAAGTCAGGCTTACCCACATATCTCTCCGGGCTAGTTATGAAGATTATATGGAATGTTAACTATGAAGCATTTTGAAGAAATATGAAGCTCCTTTAAATGTATAATATTGTGGTTTTCACTGGGAAATATTTGTTTTTTAGGGGACAGTATTTATTCAAAAACAAACCTCCTGATGGGAATGTTCCTCCCAACTCTTTTTATAGAGCACTTTATCCTAAAATTATACAAGACATTGAGGTAAGAATCTTATGTATTTTGGGGTATTTGCCAAATGATAGAGAATCATCAGCATTCTTCAGTGTCGGTTTTATTATAGCAAACCCACTAGGGTTTATTGATTTGGGTTAAAAATCAATATCTTAGCTGGGCACAGTGGCACACACCTGTAATCCCAGCAGTTTGGGAGGCTGAGACAGGAGGATTGAGAGTTCAAAGCCAGCCTCAGCAACTGCAAGGCACTAAGGAACTCAGTGAGACTGTCTCTAAATAAACTACAAAATAGGGCTAAGGATGTGACTCAGTGGTCGAATGCTCCGGAGTTCAATCCCTGGTACAAAAAAAAAAATCAATATCTTTATGAGTGACTAGAGTAGATAAAATATAGAAAATTACCAGGTAAATTTTTAAAGCTTTAGAAGGATTAAATTCTTATAACAGCATTGAGAACTATTAAATTTCTTCTCTGCTGATATTAAAATGTCTTCTGAATCAAGCCTCTTTTGGTAGAAATGGCCAACACATGTAAGAGCACCAAATACCCAATCCTACCTAGAACATATTTTTAACTTGCCTTAAGTTCTGTAAATTCATTACCATTAATGTCAGATAAGAGTTTTGTCAGATCCTTACATAACTAACTGCCTGTTTACCATTCCTTCTTCCTAGACAATAGAATCTAATTGGAGATGTGGAAGACACAGTTTACAGAGAATCCACTGTCGGAGTGAAACAAGCAAAGGAGTTTACTGTTTACAGTATGATGACCAGAAAATAGTAAGCGGCCTTCGAGACAACACAATCAAGGTGAAGTCTCTTCACTTATGGGAGTTTTGCTAAGGCAATGAGGGTAACCACATTCATAAAGCAATCCAAGGCATTGTTTCTAGAAAATAAGTGAGAATTTTAGAGTGGTTCTAGTACCAAAACCATTTCCTTAAAGACCAGATGTGTTCCCCCAACCCCAGAAGAACATAAAAACAGATGGTCTTAGGGTTAAATTTACTTTGTGAAGTATACTGAGGAGGGGATGGGGAGGTGTCTTTTGGCCCTCATAATTATAGGCTTGCCCAGTTCCTTAATGAAAAGGATAAAGTCCTCATTAGAATTAAAGCCACATATATATAGGTGCTTAACTCTACCTGTAGAAAGGAATGCATTCCTCACTTCTCTGGACTTTGATTCTTTGTGGGGATCAAACACATAATAGAGCCAACAAGTCTCCACAGCACCCCATTATCACTATGATCAAAAGGATCTTGTTTGCCATCCTAGATCTGGGATAAAAGCACATTGGAATGCAAACGAATTCTCACAGGCCACACAGGTTCCGTCCTTTGTCTCCAGTATGATGAGAGGGTGATCATAACTGGATCGTCAGATTCCACGGTCAGGTAGAAAATTTCCAATACTCTTTTGAACTCTGAAACATCCATTCTTTATCACAGTAATATTATATGTATCTGCATGAACATAGTTATGAAACTAAAGAAGAATAAATTATCAGCTTCCCCCGTTTTGTGTGTGTCAATCTAAAACAGAAAACTTGATTTAGGAATGATTGGGGTAAGTTTACATTTTTGCACATTTAAGAAACTATACAGGGCTGGGGATGTGGCTAAAGCCCTAGAGCGCTCGTCTGGCATGCGTGTGGCCGGGGTTTGATCCTCAGCACCACATACAAAGATGTTGTGTCTGCTGAAAACTAAAAAATAAATATTAAAAAAAATTCTCTCTCTCTCTCTCTCTCTCTCTCTCTCTCTCTTTAAAAAAAAAAGAAACTGTACATTCTGTTTTAATTTGGAATATCATCCATTATAGAAATTTATCTAGATACCTTTCAGTTCTTAACAAAAAATACATCACAGGGGAATGACATGAATGAAGCTTTCCTTTCAGGTGGTTTCCTTTCACGTAGATCTGGCATGTATTATCTCTTTAAAATGTATACAGGTGAGCAATGCTCTCTTTGCCAGCCCCTCCCCTGCTATCTCTGCAGTTTTTAATTGCAAGCTTCACACAGGGAGGGGCCCTCAATTTCAAAAGGCATTAGTGATTTGATGACACAGCCATTATGCTGCTGGAGTCCAGTGTAGCTCAAGTTCTGGGTACCAGCAGCACTGTTGGAAACCTCTGTGAGGAATTTTGCCTTAAGCTAAAGGATTTAGCAAGCATAATGCATCAAAAGTAACTTTAAGAGAAAAAAAGGGGGGGGGTCAGTTAACTACATTGTTGTCTCTGAAATCAAATGTTTCCCATTGGAAATTGTCCTCTGTGAATAGGATAGCTGGTTCTTGTCACATGATTTCAAGGCATAGCAAAACTAGTCCATGCAGTTGTAGACATTTAACATTTATAGATGCTTCATAAGAGCTAAAGCATTGTAGATACTTTCATCATTTTTAGAATAAGATGTGATTTTTTTCTTTAAGTACTAGGAATCAGATTTAGGGTCTTGCGCATGCTAGCCCCATGCTCTACTACTGAGCTATACCCCCAGCCCAGAAAATGACTTTTTTTAAAAAGGGGAGTTTAAATTGGAAAAAGGAAACATTATAGAAATTAAATCAATACTCAAAAATAGAGTAATCAAAACAAAATATATCATGACACAAAATTTCTCACACTTGGGCCCTCTCACTCTGTTGTGAAGGCCATATTTATGGTAGAAGGCTATTCTACCCTCTGCAAAGCACAGAAATGGGGGCTTAGACTTAGAGTCTGGGTAATCTTGGTCCTTGACTTGTGTCCTACAATCCCAAGTAATCAAATTCAAATCATTATTAAATCTGACAGAAGTGTCTTTAGTTCATGTCATTTCTGATTCCTGAGTGTGGTCAGTGGGACAGGCCACTAATGGTACTGTTATCAATCAAATTCTTCATTTAAAATATCTTCCGAATAGTGTCATTGAATGTCAGAAATTTTATAATAATAATCTTGAAGTCTGGGCCAAATTGTCAGGTGGTGGTGGCTGCTGCCCTCTGCAGCTTGCCCAGATTTCAAGTCTTAAGGATTCTACCCTCACAGCACCCCATTCCCTTCTTCCTCCCACTCTCCCTGTCCAACCCTCCCTCTGTCTGCTGCTTCCCTGTGTCTACTTCAGTTGTGCAAAAGAAAGGTAGAGTATAATACTTCCCATTAAAGTATTGGGGAGGGGCATGATGGTCATATATGGGTAACATGTTGTATCTTGAGTACCATCTAACTCTCAGGTATCCCTTCCAGAGTTTGGGATGTAAATACAGGTGAAATGCTAAACACATTGATTCACCATTGTGAAGCAGTTCTGCACTTACGTTTCAATAATGGCATGATGGTGACCTGTTCCAAAGATCGTTCCATTGCTGTATGGGATATGGCCTCCCCAACTGATATTACCCTCCGGAGGGTTTTGGTTGGACACCGAGCTGCTGTCAATGTTGTAGACTTTGATGACAAGTACATCGTTTCTGCATCTGGGGACAGAACTATAAAGGTAATAAGGCATTTTTCAGTAAGTCCTCAACTTGGAGCCAGGCATGGTAGTTCACACCTATGATCCCAGTGACTTGGGAGACTGAGGCAGGGGTATCCAAGTTCAGGACCAGCCTCAGAAACTCATTGAGATCCTGTCTCAAAAACAAAAAAGGGCTGGGGGGCTGGGGATGTAGCTCAATCGGTAGCGCGCTCACCTGGCATGCATGTGGCATGGGTTCGATCCTCAGCACCACATACAAAGATGTTGTGTCCGCTGAGGACTGAAAAATAAATATTAAAAAAAAAAAATTCTCTCCTCTCTCTCTCTCTAAAAAAAAAAAAAAAAGAGTCTGGGAATGTAGCTCAGTGCCACCCCTGGATTCTGACCCTTTTTTAAAAAGGGGAGTTTAAATTGGAAAAAGAAACCGTAGAAATCAAGTCAATTACCATAAAAAATTCATAATCATAATAATGATAATCCCCCACTTAGTATAGGGAGTCTGTGAAAATTTGATCAAGGCAGCTACATATTTAAATTTCACTGTAGAATAACTTAGTATTTAATTCAAACACTGGTGCTTGTGTAAAAAGGTATGAGTGAGACAAGTTGTACAACAGTTTTGTTTCTATAATAATGGTGACAGGCTGTGTATATGATTCAGTAGTCAAGCATTTGCCTAGCATATGCCAGGCCCTGGGTTTGATCCCTAGCACTGTAAATAGTAACAATAGTAATAATAACAACAACAACAGTAATAATAAATTGAGTTTGAGAAGAGCAGGGAAAAATTTAAGTTCAAGAAAATGTATCTACCTGGGCATGGTGTCACACACCTGTGATCCCAGCAACTAGGGAGGCTGAGACAGGAAGATTGTGAGTTCAAAGCCAGCCTCAGCAACAGCGAGGTGTTAAGCAACTCAGCAAGACCCTGTCTCTAAATAAAATACAAAATAGGGCTGGGGATGGGGATATGGCTCCGTGGTTGAGTGCCCCTGAGTTCAATCCCTGGTACCCATACACACAAAAAAAAAAAGAAAGAAAGAAAGAAAATGTATCTAAGACTGGATTAACCCCATAAGGGCAAATTAATTGGATGAATGTTCTTGTGATAGTAGACAGCTTCAAATTAGCCCTGTTACCATGAAGTAAACTTGTTTTTTGTTTTACTTTGCTGCATTTTTCTGAGAAGTTGATTTCCCATGGTGGGTCAGCGCTGATACCTGCTTCCCCAAGATTCCAGTTGTCATTGATTTCAAAATCAGCTGCTTAATGTCATTTTCTGTCTCAGGTATGGAACACAAGTACTTGTGAATTTGTAAGGACCCTAAATGGACACAAACGAGGGATTGCCTGTTTGCAGTACAGAGACAGGCTGGTGGTGAGTGGCTCCTCTGACAACACTATCAGGTGAGCAGCAAGTGCTCTTTCCCAGAAGGAATCAGTATTATCCTCCCATTGAGTAATTGTTCACAGATCTTACAAATCTTTAACTATGTTATGTTTATAATCAAATATTTTTCCTTTTTGTGTCTTTTTACAAGTCAAAAGTTTTGCCCCAAGCAGAAAAGTAGCACAACAAAGGTTTTTGTTGATGTGTTTCCTTCTTGTAACAGTTTTGTCACCAGATAGACCTATTTTAGAGGTACTGCTTTAGTAAGGAAGTAAAACAGGTGGATAGAGGTTTAAGGCCTTTCTTGTACAATTTCTTTTGTCTGCTGTTGAAAAATGCTGATAAATAATAGGTAAGGGAAAATAAGAAAAAAATAATAATAGGTGGGACTTTTCCCTTTGTTGCTGTTATTAAAAATATATATATATTTCCCTACTACAAATTGTGTGCTCTTGTCTTAGAATTACATAATTGGCCGGTCACCTGTCTTTAAAATCATGAGGTATCCACAAAATGAAGTACTTTTTTGTATGTTTTTCCCCATCTCAAAGATGAATGACACAGATACCATTAGAATTTGGAAGATTTGGGCTGTGGATATAGCTCAATAGAGTGCTTGCCTTGCATGCACAAGTCCCTGGGTTCAATCCCCAGCACCACAAAAATAAAAAGAATTTGGAAGATTTATCTGTTCTCCCCCTCTCTTCAATTAAGAACTAAGAAAATAAAAAGGCCATTTAAAAAAAACAACAGCTTAAGAATTAGAAAAGCAAAACAGAGCTATTGTTATATATCTAAGGAAATTATCATTCCTCGAAATCACTTGAATTGTTCTAAAAGCATACAGTTTTTTTTAATTATTATACAAAACTCCTTCAGAACTGGCTTCACATTTCCATTACATGGAAAAGACTACCTTGAGAGCAGAGAATGTTCCTCAGTAGCAGAAGTGGAGATGCTTTTGTGAGGGCCAGATGTCACTGACAATCTACATCTCATTCTTATTGATTTCAGGAAGCATTACTCTCCTGACCAGGTCATTTCCTTCCTAGGGAACTATGTGCTTTGAATTTGTCCTTTTTATTCCTGAGAGAACATGGATACAGAATTATAGAAAGCATTGTGCTTTGAAAATACATAATGAGGGCTGGGGATGTAGCTTGGTGGTAAAACATGTGTGAGGCACTGGGTTCAATCCTCAGCACCACATAAAAATAAAGATACTGTGTGTTCATCTACAACTAAAAAAAGATTTAAAAGAAAATACATAATGTATTTGAACTTAAGTCATACATTTTTCTGCCCAAGTTATATGGCAGAGAGGAAATAAATAATACTGAAAGCCATATACTTTTATATGAATGGTTATTGATCTCAAATTTTTGTCTTTAAAAGACATAATGAAGTATATCATTGTAACATTCCAAGATTAGAAAAGAACATGAAAATTGACTTGACTCAATGTTCTCTTCCAGATTATGGGACATTGAATGTGGTGCATGTTTACGAGTGTTAGAAGGTCATGAGGAATTGGTGCGTTGTATTCGATTTGATAACAAGAGGATAGTCAGTGGGGCCTATGATGGGTGAGTTTGCTAACAAGGTTAAAAAACAAATCTAAGGACTGAGGGAATAACTCAGTTGTAGAGTGTATACTTAGCATGCATGAGTCCCCTGGGTTCAGTCCCCAGAACAAAAAAAAAACTTTTTTCTCTGTCCTTATCTTAATTCTTTCTAGTTTATGATGTTAAATATAATGTTTCCTTATTTCTAAAAGTTTATACATTGTACAGTATTTCTTTAATCTATTCATTAATCTCTACATTGTTTATTATTTTCTCAAATATTCTTTCCAGTTATTGTACTCGTTTTGCACTGACATTATTTTAGTTATTTGATTATATCTTTGTCTATTTTTGCCTTATAAAGCAAAAAATCATACAAACCCAATATGACATATGCATATAAAATAGTAACTTATTAATAAATGGAAACACTCAAGGGCAGTATCTAAGGCCTTGAATTTGATCTCTTGATTTGGGGGTGGGGCAGATACTGGAGATGGAACCCCGGTCCTCATGCATGCTAAGCAAGTACTCTTCACACCCCTCTTTGATTTGGAATTCTTTGAGTGATTCCTAAAAGTTAATCTTTATTTTCTTCAGCCTAATTTCCAATGGTTTTAGAATCCATTCATGCTATGAATGGATCCTGTGTCTAACAATACTAAATACAAGTAAGTGAATATAAAAAGTTACCCATTTAGGGGTTAGGTTATAGCTCGAAGTAGAGTGCTTGCCTCGCACATGTGAGGCACTAGGTTTGATCCTCAGCACCACATAAAAATAAATAAAGTAAATATATTTTTAAAAATTTGATGAAGGGATAAGAATGTCTTTTTTTAAAAAAAAAAGTTACCCATTTATGAAGTATTGTATTTTTTTTTTTGTCAAGGTTCCTGATTTGGGGTATGGCAGGGGGAGCAGGCTATAATTCAAATATTGGCAACTATTTAAATATCAGAAACTAGCAATATTATCTTGGTTCTCTCTGACTATATAGTAAGCTGACCCAAGCATCAAAAAGTATAACCAGCACTTCCTCTGCTTTGAGTCAGCCATCACTGTCCTACCCTTGAGAAACTATTCAAGCTGTAATGACATGTTCAGAAAGGTCAAGGTTAAGGCTTTGGACTGTCTATACCAACCTTTTTTGAGGTTTTTCTTTTGTATACCTAGATTTTTGGATGAGGTGAATTTTTCCTACTTAAATGGAAACATAAGTGTTTTCTAATATAAAATCTAGAATTCTTAAATGGATCTCAGACTTCCAGTATATGTGAACATTCTTAGACCACAAAAAAGGTACCTCAGAGTTGTAGATGTCTAGTTCTGAGTAATCTCTTAAGAATTCTAATACACGAGAGCTCTTTGGCCTGAAGTGTAGATATAACTTGGCTAAAGCTAACTTATTGCTAATTTTTAGGTTAATCATTTACATTTTTCCTGTTAAGACCAATAACCTTTACCCAAGAGTGAATGTAAGAACCAAGTTAAAAAAAAAAAAGTATTATTTCTATGAGTTGGATTTTTAATATAAACTGTATTTACTATCCATATTGATTACCATGACTTTTTTCTGTCATTTTCCTATATTCCCTTAATTTTGCTTCTGAGATTTTGATCTCCTTTTTGGTTTTTAGAAAAATTAAAGTGTGGGATCTTGTGGCTGCTTTGGACCCCCGTGCTCCTGCAGGGACTCTCTGTCTACGGACCCTTGTGGTAAGAGCCTGATTGTTGGTATGGTAGGAAATATAGACCTGGATTTGAGAAAAAATCTCACAAAATCTACTACTAAGTGTAAAGTCCTCTAATACATGACAATAAAATATATTTATGTAGTGCCTTTCATCCAAAAGTGCTTTAGAGAGTATACATGGAGAGGAATGTGGCAGCTGTTTAACAGCTGCACAGCAACTCTTCAGCAGTATAGTACAGGAAGTGAATAAGAATTCTGTATCCATCAGAAACAGCAAGTGGGGGATGGGGAGGGGGGTACTAAGGAAGAGAGAATATAATTACTCAAATTGGAACCTGTCCAAAATCTGAGGACCAGCACACCTGTGCCTGCAAAAAGTACCTTGGGAATATAAGAACCCTCTGATCAACCCTTAGTTTTGCATCCCATTCATGGGATAGTGCCTCCCATAACTTAAATCCCATCTTAGTTATTCCCTTTATGGTCCCGTCTGAACATCTTGACACAGGAAAAGAAATGAGTCAAAAAGAAGAATGTCATCTTCAGAAGCACTATATTATTTACCATTTTGTTACCAAGGGTCTAGATTGGCAAATGCTGAGATTAGAAGATTAGTGGGACCCCACGATGGACAGAATCCTTTATATGACTCAGGAAAAATCCTTTATATGACTCAGCAAGCATTCAAAACCTGATATACTAAATCCTGACTCTCAACATTGTGGTCTCTGCTCTGGAAAAGAAAGGGGGGATGTGTTTCTTTTGTTTTCCTTGTTAGGTTTAAAGTACATTCTTTTAGCAACAGACAAGCTTTCCCTGCATGTTTCACACATGTCTTTTGAAATGTATAACTTTCTTTCATTTACAATAATTTTGACAAATCTGGTTTTTGAGATATAACTTAAATGCAGCAAAATTTATCTTTTTTCTTAGTGTACTTCCATAAATTTTACTATTGTAAAATGAAGTTAAGATACAGAACTTTTCCATCATCCCCAGAAGTTCTTTTATGCTTCTTCATATCAGTATATTCTCCCAACCCCTAACAATTATTAGTAACCATTCATCTGATTTCTATCCCTAGTTTTGCGTTCTTACAAATATCATATAAATCTTAGTATGTAGCCTTTGAGTTTGGCTTTTTTCACTTAATCTTCAACTAATCAATGTTTTTGCATGTGTCAGTACTTTGTTCCTTCTTATTGCTGAGTAGTATTCTGTTGTGTGTATGACCTAGTTTGTTTTTTCTTCACCAGTTAACATTTGGAATGTTTCATTTTTGTTGATTTAGAGTAAAGCCACTGAATAATTCTTCTATAGATTTTTATGTCCATACTGTTTTCATTTCTCTTGAGTATATATCTAGGAGTGCAATTTCTGAATCCTGTTATACATTAAAATTCAAAGGAAACCACCAAGCCACCTCCCAGAGTGGCATTTTTTTTCTTAACAATATATGAGAGTTCCATTTTTCCTTGCTAGCCTAATTTAATATTGTTAGTATTATTTAAAAATTACAGCCATTTGAGTGAGTGTGTAGTGGTATCTCATTGTCGTTTTCATTTGCATTTCTGTGATAACTCATTATGTTGACTATCTTTTCACATATTTAACCTCTTACTGTGAAGTGTCTGTTCAGATCTTGTGACTATTATTTATTGAATTTTTTTAAAACAAATTTATTAAGGTAAAATTAGTATCTAGTAAAGTGAACATACTGAAAGTATACAATTTAATCAGTTTTGACATGTGTATACCAGTAAAACCATAGGTATTAAAGATATCCTCATGCCCTTTGGTAATCCCTTCTCATTCCATCCCATCCTACATTACTGTGCCTTAATCAGGCAGCTCCTGATCTGCTATCTTTCAGCATTTATTAGTTTGCATTTTCTAGGATTTTATGAAAATGAATCAATAGTTGAACTCAGTAAGAACATACAGCACCATCATTCAGGTGGATATAACTGAAGTTTGTAGAATGATTCATCTAACACATTTTTCTCAAGCTCACATGAAACGTTCACCAAGGTAGATAGTCCACAGTCTGGGCCATAAACATACTTTAACAAATTTGAAAGAATAGAAATCATTTTGGGCCCAGGTGGTGGCTCGGTGGTGGAGCGCTTGCCTAGCATGTGTGAGGCACTGGGTTCAATTCTCAAAACTGCATATAAGTAAATAAAGTAAAGATCCATAATTGATAACTTAAAAAGAAGAGAAATCATAGGATGCATTCTCTCAGACCACAGTGGAATTAAACTAGAGATCAACAAGAGAAAAGTAGCTAGAGTATCTCAAAAAAAAAATGTGGAGATTAAACAACCCACATTTAAATAATGCATAGGTCAGAAAAATCTCAAGAGAAATTGAAAAGTATTTCAACTAAATGAAAATACAACTTATTAAAATTGGTGGGATACAGTGAAAACAGTGCTTAGAGGGAAATTTATAAGCATATTATAGAAAAGAAGAAAAATTCAAAATCAATAATCTGATCTCCTATATGAGAAATCTAAAAGAAGATCAAGTGAAGTCCAAAATAAGAATAGAAAAGAAGCCAGGTATGGTGGCACATACCTGTAATCCAGCAGCTCAGGAGGCTGAAACAGAAGGATCAGGAGTGTAACACCAGCCTAAGCAACTTAGCAAGACCCTATCTCTAAATAAAATTTTAAAAGGAATATTATTATTAATAATCATTATCTATATGTAATGTTTTGGGCTCTATCCCTAGTACTTCCACAAAAAAGAGGACTCAATATTAAGTTGAAAACAGGAGATCAATAGAGAAAATCAAGACCAAAAACTGGTTCTTTGAAAGCACCAATAAAATCAGTGACCCAGAAACTGAGAAAAGACACAAGTTACTAACATAAGGAATAAAAGAGAATGCCATTACTACAGCCTCCATGAATATTGAAAGGATTACAGAGTGTGATGAACTACTCATGCCCACAGATTTGGTCTTCTAGATGAAATGGACCAGTAACTTGAAAGATACCATCTGCCATAATTCACACAAAAAGTAGACAACCTTATCTGTCAAGGTTGAATCAATAATTAAAAACCTTTCAAAACAAAGAACACCAGCCTCAGATGATGGGTTCACTGGTGAATTTTATCAAATTCTGCAATCACTTCTACAAGTAAAAGCACAGTGAATAAAAACCCGTTTAATGAAGCCAGCATAATCCTAATACCAAAACCAGACAAAGACATTACAAGAAAACTACAGATCAGTATTTCTCATGAACATAGACACTAACTAGTATGTGAGCTTGTTTATATCTTGAGAATAATGTAAAATTATGCAGTCATTATGAAAAATGATGTATGGTAATTCCTCAAAAAAAATAAAAGATAGGATCACCATCCAGCAGTCCCACATCCAAGTATATATCTAAGAGAATTGAAGGCAGGACTTTAAAGCAGTTTATACACTCACATTCATGGCAGTCTTGTTCACAATTAGCCAAGAAATGGAAGCAACCCAAGTGTCCATCAACAGTGTGGTGTCAGGTATATACTATAGGATGTCACTTATATGAAGTATCTAAAGTAGTCTGATTCATAAAAACATTGTAGAATGGTGATTGCAAGGATGGGGAGACAGGGGAATAAGGACTTGTTTAACGGATATAGAGTGTTAGATTTGCAAGATGAAAAGGTTCTGAAGATCCCATTTCTCAACAATGTCAATAGATTATTGAACCATGCACTTAAAAATGGACAAAATGGTGAATTTGTCTTATATTTTTGCCACAATTAAATAGGCAAACAAATTGCATGACAAATATTACTTTTTTAAGTAGAATTTTTATTCATATATAAGGATGATATTGTTACTAATCTTGTGCTTAGTTCTTTCACAGTTTCTAAAATTATATAAAAGGTAGTAATGTGTCAATACAATGAATAACTCTTAAATTTAAAAAAAAATCCCCAAATATGAGCAAATTGAATCCAACAATGCAACAATGTATAAAGAAAATAGTAACACCATGACTAGGTAAGATTTATTCCAAATACAAGGCTGATTCAGAATTAAAATCATTTAATATAATCTATCATATCAACAACCAAAGAAGAAAAGTCAGATGATTTTATCAATAAATGCAGCAAAAGCACTTGACAAACACACATTCATGATAAGACTCTGAGAAAACGAGGAAAGGAACTTCAACTTCCTAAAGAAAAATACTAACTAAAACCATAATAAAATAACCACTAGAGACCTATCAAAACTAAACTAAAAAAGAATGGCAGTGTTTCGTGTTGATAAAAATGTGAACAACTGGAACTCATACATTATTGGTGGGAATATAAATTTACACAACTTTTTTTTCCTCTCTTAAGTGATATAAATTTTAAAACACTTCAGTAGTATCCCTGAAGCTAAAACATACGTGTTCTCCATGGACCAGAAGTTCTGTTCCTAGGTGTAGTAAATGCGAGTGTCCATTGAAAGGCCTTTGCATAATCACAACAGCTTTATTTACAGTAATCAAAAACTATAAACTGGGGCTGTGGCTCATTGGCAGCACACTTGCTTCGCATGTGTGAGGCACTGGGTTCGATTCTCAGCACCACATATAAATAAGTAAAATAAAGGTCTATCAACAACTAAAAAAAATATTTAAAAAACTATAAGCAGCCCATATGTCCAATAGGAGAAAAGATAAATGTAGGATATTCATACAGTGGAATATCAACCAGTAACAAAAATAAATAAATAAATCACAAACTACTGTTTTGCATGTAACAGCAGAGAAGTATCTTATAATGTTGAGTAAAAGAAACTCTGGCACCAAAGAATATGTAGTAGATGGGTGTATTTATGTGAATTTCAAGATAGACGAAACAAATAAATAGTATTAACATTAAAATGAAGTGATATTGATAGTAAGGGGCATGAGAATACTTTGCACTATTTTGTTTACTACCAGTGATGTACTAGACCAGGCTCAGACCCACTTGGCAAGAGTCAACCATTTGATTTTCATGAATTTGGAAGCTGGTTGATAAACCATGAAAATCTATAAATGGTTTTACAAATTGAGGAAGTTCAGGAAGCATCTACCAACACACCTCTTATTGCTCATACCCCTTAGTCTCTGTAGAAGAAACTTAGAGACACAAGGAGAATAAGGCTAGGGAAGTACCAAGAAGGGTGCTCCTCTAGGCCAAGCCAAGGAGAGTTGGCAATGAGAAACTAGGATGCTATTTACTGCCTTGACTAAAGATTATTACTTTACTTTGTGAAATCAGCTGCCCAGTATTTGACTTTTCCATTCTGCCTTTAGCCAAATCAAGTTTTCCCTCTGTATTTTTGAAACAACTAAATGTTAAAGAGCCTTTCCATAGGTGTCTTTAGATATGAGGCTGAATTTGTGCCCTTTTGGTTTTGAAGTATTTCAAATTCTTACCCTTTCGTTTCTGCTTTAGGAGCATTCTGGAAGAGTTTTCCGACTCCAATTTGATGAATTCCAGATTGTCAGTAGTTCACACGATGACACAATCCTCATCTGGGACTTCCTAAATGATCCAGCAACCCAAGCTGAGCCCCCCCGCTCCCCTTCTCGAACATACACGTACATCTCCAGATAAACAACCATATACTGACCTCATACTTACCCAGGTATGAAAACAACTGTGCATATGGCATTGTGGGTAGAAAATGGAATATTGGCTATAACGTGTACTCCTCTTGGAGCTTTCTCATTCTCAGTCCCTTTGTCTCACCAAACCCTATAAAGCAGGGAAAGCAGACAGTGTGTGAGGACAGGGCAGGGGTTGCCCCACTGGGCACTGCTTTTACCAAGATAACCAGGCTCATTTCTAGAGGATTCTGGGGTTCTCCCTGAGTAGTAGAATGAACCATTCCTGCTCCAGAGGATAGTGTAATAAATGAAATAATATTTGAACCAGTTGAAATCTTAAGTAATGACCCAGAGAGCCTATAAAACAGGAGCAGCTACTCTGAAGTTACCAAGGGTTCCATTCCTCCCACTTAGTTGTCCAGCCCTTCTCTGAGGCAGGTAAAAATCCTAAAATATCCAGGTTTTTTTTTATATTTGGGTATTTTCAGATCATACATGGTCTCTTCACAAATGCATTGGGTTATTGAGAATTCAGGAAATTTGGTACCAGCTACAAGGGAGTGTTGCTGTCATTTCTCGTTTCCCACACTGGTTGCAGCTTTTTTGTCAGAGGTACACATTGACTACATGTCTGCACCTCTTTCTGTAGTGTTCCTTCTAAGGTGGTGTCCAGCCCCTCTCATAGAGGACAGTTTCCTTGTTCCTCAGCCTCCTTAGCCAAATTACACAGGTTATGTGCCCTTGGGCAAGAGACTTCCCAGACTTTAGTTTGCTCATGAGTGAAATGAGAGTGCAGATCCCACCTCACAGAGCTCTTGTGAAAACAACCCAGAAATACTATTTGTAAAATTCTTAGTGCCTAGCACATAATAAGCCTTTAGTGAAAAGTGGTCATTATTATTAAATATTAGAATTATCATGTACCTGTCCCCTGTTCTTGCCAAAATTTCCTCTTCCTTAGACTTACAATATTTTGCATTTTTATGTATTTATTTATTTTCGAGGAAGAGGTGCTGGGTATTAAATCCAGGGCATGCTAGGTATATGCCCGGCCACTAAGCAAAAATCCTAGTCCCCAATTGTATTATTTGTCCTAACTCTGATTGTATGTCTCCTTCCTCTTCTCACCCCTAAAACATAGACATCCATGAGCATTTTGACTTATCTAAGCTGACTTCCCTAGCTGCCTTCTCTTTTCCCAAGATTTTATCTCCCATCTCAATATAAATGACTATCAAGTTTTAATCTCTATAGTCTCATCTGCTACTTTAATCTCCAAGGCATGTGTCCAGCCACCATCTATACATCTGTCTTTGAAGGTACCAGGAGCACTTCTAGTGCTTAAATTTACAGTTCCTCTAGCCAGACAAAGGTTAGCTTCCCCAGATTTCCCCACTTCTCTCAATGCCACCATCATTGAGTTCCTGGCTACTCCAGCAGAACCCCAAGCTATTCCTGCCTGCTCTGCCATTTCAGGGAGAAGGTGAAAGGTTGATGCCCAACTATTGGTCACTCTTAACCTCAGGACTTCAGAGTCACCGCTTGAGTACTAGTGCCCGGAGCAGATCAGCAAATATCACCCTTTTTTGAAGTCCCCAGTTAGGCCTCTGACAGAAGTTCCTGTGCTGTATGGGCAGAAAGCAGCCATTGGGAAGGGCCCCCAAGCCTTTATTGCAATTGACAGCTAAGTGAATGTTCTTTTACTTTTTTTTTTTTTTTTAATTTTTTAGTATTTTATTTTTTAGTTCTCGGCGGACACAACATCTTTGTTTGTATGTGGTGCTGAGGATCCAACCCGTGCCACACGCATGTCAGGCGAGCGCGCTACCGCTTGAGCCACATCCCCAGCCCTGTTCTTTTACTTTTAGAGCAAGTGAAAAATTTAAGGAAAGGGGCTGATAACCATTTGTTCTGTTTTCACATAGGACTCATTAAAGTTGCAGTATTTAAGTATCTGCCAAGACCAGAATGAGCAACAACCGCAACAATCAAAACTCCTACTTGGATCTCCGGACCAGTGAGGAGCAAGGCTTTGAGACTCCTATTAGGACATAGTTGGTCTACAGCCGACCAGGACGGTCTGCTCGGCACAGCCAACTGCTTCAGTGCTGCTATCAGAAGATGTCTTCTATCTTGTGTGAATGATTGGAACTTTTAAACCTCCCCTCCCCTCTTCTCCCCACTTCCCCTCTGCACCTGCTTCTCCCCCATTGGGTTCCAGACAAAGATGACTTATAAATATATTTAGTGTTTTGCCATAATCTCTCTTGCTTTGCCATTAAGCAGAACTAGTTTCCCCAGAATGGCCCACATGTAGGAGACAGGAGGATGCAGCTTCCAGGCAGACAGGGCCCTGTGTCCCCCTGTTAACTGCAGGAGTGTCTACACCTGGCCAGAGAAACCCAGCCCACTATGTGTGGGAGAGACAGCACCCTGTACATCCTTGGGGGATAGGGGAGACAAATACACTGGAAGACCTGGGCCTCCTGTTTCCGTCCTCTTTCTGTTTCTGTCCCTCTTCCCTCCCCACCAAGCCCTCTTCAACCTGAGAAGAAGGTGTGTGAAAAGAATATCCTCAATTAACATGAGGTGGATCAACTAGAAAATGCAACACTTGGAGCTAAATGTGTTCAATGACAATTTCAAGCCCAGGCTTTTGCTGCAAGTGACCATGTGGAGGCAGTGGATTCTCGAACATGATGCTCTCATCATATTTACAACTCTTCTCTCTTCTTCTCCCCACCCAAAGAAGGGGAGGGGACAGAAGTTTCCTGGGCTCCATCAATGTCTGCATCTTTTCTGGACTCAGCAGTCTCCTTGATTCCATGTAGAGTGTGGAAAGGAGTTGCTGATTGCATTTTCTCTCATTAACAATTAGATGTGTAATAAAAAGCATTGTACTTCATCTTAAATCACTGGTAAGGCTCAGCCTACAGAAAGGTTTGAAAAGGCCAGAACCAGTCACTTGGTGCACTATGCATAATGGTTCACATCTTTGAATTCCTCCTGACTGCCAAGACTACTGGTGGAGTAGCTTAAGAGATGGTCAGGAGTGAAAGCTGACTTTTTTTCATTTAGGCCAGTAAATACCATCTCTCAGAAATCAATCTAACCTTAACCTTGCACTGCAGAACCTTTCTTCTACTTTTCCCAAACCCAGTATTTGCAAAAGGGCAAAGCTGCCAGAGAGAGGATCAGGGTGAAGTTTGGCACACAGGGTTTATTAATGGGCAGAAACTGCCTTCTCTCTTTTTCTTCCTCCTCTTGGCCTTATTTTGCTCTCTACTTTCCCAATCAATAAAATTTCTCTGGAAGTTGATGGACAACATACACAAATGGACCCTCTGTAAGGGCACTTGTGCCATACTATCCTTGTCTATTGTGTTGACTATCCTGGGAGCACCATGGCTGCATACCCAGTTTGTTTCCCCAGGCACTAGTGAGCCTACTGAGAGGTGGCCTGGGCACACCCCCAGGCCTTGAGGCCACAGGGCAGCCTCCTATTTCTCTTGGAAGTTGAGCAATCAGGCCCTTTGCTTCTATTCCTAATCTACCCTGTTGAGTTTAAGAGAGCCACTTTTAACCAGCTGCTATACAAATAGAATGGAAGCCTGTTGGAAGTGACCTGTAGCCAGGCCACCTTTAGTGCAAGGGGGTGGGAGTGCATGGTAGAACATCCTCATTCTTCCCCCTGATTTGCAAGAAGGTGTTCCCTTCTCAATTGAATGTTGTCATTACATACAGAGAGGCAGGTTATACAAATGCAGTTTTTCTTTCCTGCTTCATGAACACTTTTAAAGCTTTTAATTTCAAATTATTCAGAAAATACTTCCCAGTGTAATGCCTATGCCTGGGAAATACTTTCTTCATGTAATTCCCTTCCCAGCTATCCAAATGCTATTGTTTCTTACTTAGCCACTATCAGGGTTCCTTGTCTATTATGTTGACTATTAATGGCTTTTGGATTGGTTAAGGATTTTGCTGCAGATGAAGATAGAGGGGTGTCAGCCCTGAAAAACACACAGGACAGACATGAAAAAGGCAAGGGTTTCAAATATTGTCCAATAGCCATAACTTTACTAGCCCTTCTGTTATATGCTGCTATTCCAAAATGGGAACAAGCCTGGGGATGTAGCTACATGACAGAGCATTTGCCCAGCATGTGTCAGGCCCTAGGTTCTACCCCAGCACTGCAAAATTTTAAAAAGTGGGAGCTGCTGACCATTCACTGCTGTCCAGGATTTTGCTCTGACATCTAGGTTCAGTGAAGGTGCATTGATCCTAAGGCAGTTTGAAGCTCTTCTAGTCTATCATACATGAGATCAGGGCTGGACCCTGCAGATGTAGAACCATTAGTTCAGTTGAGATTATTGTGCAAGTTGTCCTCTCTGCTGATGGAAATGGGAATGAAGTTAAGTGGTCTGAAAAACTTGAATTGTTCACATTTCTCAGCTCTGGGGGTCATTTACCAGTTCATTGTAGAAGAAATAATCAGGTAAGTAGAAGTTCATTTCCAGAGAAGGTAAACCCCACTTACTATCTCTGCATGATTTCAGTGGGAATTGATTATCACTAATCCCCAACTGGGCTAGAATAAATGTAATGTTTGACCTTTTTAAAAAGAAAAGAGAAACAAAGGAAGTCACTACACATTTAAAGGAATGGTAGGAAACGAGCCAAAGATGTCTCTTGGCTCTGAAATGAAGTATCCCTATTGTAGGTCTCTTTAAACTAAAATTCACTTTCCAATGAAGGGCCTGAAAGAAACCTTTTATAAAGATAGGCTGAAACCTTTCAAAGGCAGGTGCATTCAGCTGCACCTATTATAGACAGATATGACCTCTCTGTTCACATTGAGGCTTCTTGGACAAGACCAGCCTGGTTTGCTGCTCATGTGTGTATTTCATTGCTAAGAATACCTTTTTACTTCCTTAAGTGCAATCTGAAAGTATATGTGAATTATGGATAGGAGGCCTTTTATACTTGTCCCATGGCTAAAATCTGATGTGTCTTCACTTCAGAGACAGGGATTTTTTTTTTTTTTTAAACTCTGTAATGAAGCATGGCCCTCATAACTTGTTTTTGAACTGGAAAAGACACTTAGACACCCCTGAATCATTCTGTTAAAAAAAAAAAAAACACAAAACACCCATTTGGGGGGGGGGTTGTTGTTTTGTTTTGGTACAATTAAAGCTGCAAAGAAGAAAATAGGCACTCATCCCTTGCCCTTGGTCTGAACAACTGTGGTTGGTCTACTCTTTATTTAGCACTTGATTGTGTGTGGAAACAGAGGGCTTGGGGTTGAGGTGGAACATATTAGAAATAATTAGGGCTACTTTTTTCTTTTCCTAGAATTGGATTAGATACCTTAGTGTTATTGACCTTATCATCTTCATTTTGCCTTAGATGGTAATATACTAAGCCCAGAAGTAGAAGCAGGCCTGAGGGGTAAGCTGCAAGCTCAATTCTGGGACCATCACACCCTTTGGTGATCAGGTTTACCATGTGACTTTAATCCACATTGCTGATTCCCTGTTTGGATGAGTTCAACAGACTTCCAGGTACACCCAAAACCCACCAGCTGGGTTGTCTCCCCATGTCTTGTCTACACAGCTGATCACTGACAGTCCAGAGCCCCTTATTCTAACTATAGTCTCAATCAGTGCTGGAAGGACAGCCCCCTCTCAGGGGAATAAAAACTGAACTTTGCTTCTTGATATTTTTAACCGATGGTTCATTTATGACATCAGAAATCCTTGAGTAGAGAAACCAAAAGATAATGATCATGGCTGCCTGATTTCAGGTGGAACTTTCTGCATTGATAGCTGGAAACCCCTTCTATTGGAATTCGAGCATCTATGATCTAAAATTTCCTGGAAGCAGCTAACATTTGAAATATTTGTTGCCCAACGGAACCAGCTGGCTCTTAGTTCCTGATGGTTGTGCATGTGCGTTTTAATGTTTCTTCCCCTCCTGAACCTTCCCCTTCATGGACACTGAAGGAAAAGACCAACTACAAGTTTAGACTTCTGGGTTCTAAGGAAACTAACACTTTCCCAAATCAGTGACCACTGGAGCCCAGTCAGACTCAACTCTGAGGGATGTTCAGTGGACTCCAGCTGTGGGGACAGGCCTGGCAACAAATATGATCTTCCCTGAGAGCTTTTGGTTGATTCGGCTCTTTGTTCTCTAGATTCTTAAGTACTGACTGCTTTAACTTCTGTGGTTATGTTATGGTGATGTGTAGTCAATGTATCAGTATGTTCACAACCTAGGTTCATGGCAATAGAGTGTGTTTGATTTTTTTTAACTGTTCAGAAAAAAAGTAATTTAAATTCCAAATATAAGATTAAAGTGAATTTTCTAAGTGTCTTGTCTCTTTGACCGAAAACCAAAAGAACAGTAATATTTCAGTGTACAAATCCAAGGAGTGCACAGTAGATACAGTACCTCTTAATACAATCTGATGTGAGAGAGAGAGAGCAAGATCAAGAGAAGCCAGGGCTGGGTGACATGAAGTACAGGGCCCCTGGCATGAAAGTTGTATTTCATGTTGGGTCAAACTGAAGCCAAAGTGATACCTAATTTGCAAACTGGTGGTTATAGCCAACCACAACCCAACTTAAGCCCACAATTTAAGTTTTCCTCTGCCTCTCAGTAGGTGAGAAGACTGACTCCCTTGCATCCATCCCACTTAATCCACTTATAGCCAAGTCAGCGCACCTCCAGGAGCATTTCCAGAGTCCACAAGTTGTAAGAATTGACTGCCTGAGTGGTAATATTGCTGCTGCTCCCAAGTGGAACCCCACTTCCTCCTTAAACCAAACCTAGAGAGTAGATACAAGATTGAAACAGAAAAGCACTCTCCCTTTCTGCTCCTCCCTCTATCGTAAGTAGGACCCTTGTTAAAATTAATTCCTATAACCTGTAGGCTTTTAAGGTTAATAATCCTCTCTACTTGGGGCTGGGATTGTGGCTCGGTGGTAGAGCACTTGCCTAGCACGTGTGAGGCCCTGGGTTCCATCCTCAGCACCACATAAATATAAATAAAATAAAGAGATTAAAAAGCCTGGTCTCTACTTGACCAGGCTTGGTGTCCTTGAGCCTTTCTGCCTATCTCAATCTGAGCTCACCACTGTGGTCATTAAGGCAGACTCAGGCCGTGGTCATAATTTCCACCAGAGCCGGAAGACTGGCAGAGCACCAGGAAAACCCAGCCTTTTGCAGGTGAGAAAACAGCAAGAAAGGGGACTCATATTGCCAGAGACCACATGAGCACCTGGTCCCTAACAATAGACAGCACTCTGGAGAGCAGCAGGGAATGGGGAGTCAGCAAAGATCACAGCCACCAACATCTACTTGATTTCAACCCTTGCCAGCTGGACACCTGAGCACAGGACTGAGCAGGACCTGAACCTAGAGGTTTCTGGACGTCACCTACAAACAGTGCGAGGCCTCTTTCCCCAGGGATCAGGAACTACGGCATATCCTGGGAAGACAGTTCTGTAGCCACTGTTCCTAATGCTGGGTTGCGGGTGGATTCCTCTCTCTTCTTTAAACCTGTAGCTGTGCCACCATCAGCAATGACTGACTGAGAGGAGGAGACCTCTCTTCCTCTTGATTGGCTCTTGCCAATTAAGGGCATTTTATTAAGCTGCTAATTAAAGGCACTTCGTTAGCAGCAGGAGAGGCCGGGCGGGTGCCTGGTGAGATGGAGCCGAAGCCAGAAGAAATTGTTTTCCTCCCCCCATGGAAGCAGAGCCTCTATGAAGCCTCTCAGTCCCCCAACCTCTCCCGCTGCGCCTACCACACCCCTTGCTTTCAATTAGCAGCTCTGAGGGGAGTGAGGTCATTACCAAGCCCAGGTTAGAGGGCCACCATCACCACCTCAGGCCATGGGCAGCTCCTGGGGGCTGTTCAAGTCCTCAGGCACCTTGAGTTTAGGCCCAGCAAAGGAGAGACTGACTAGCCCAATGGAGAGAGAGAGCTTGCCCTGCTAAGAAATGGCCCTTCCCTCCCCAAGCATGTGATGTGAATATCATGTGATTCCCATGACTGAAGCCATCCCAGCAGTCACCTAGCACACGATGACCATCCACAATATATGACTATCAGTGTCCCTTCCTCACCAGTCTCATGATATTGTGTAGAATATGTGACTTTCCTACCAGTCAGGAACTGTCCCCAATCCCTTTATAAGAATGAAGCTCACGAAGATGCTAAGTGGGTCCAGGAACAGAAGAGACTGATGGTTTCACAGTTTCATGCAGCCCCCAGAGACTGCAGTCCTCCTTACACCTCGGAATTGAGGCACTTTCCTGGACAGTGCAGCTGAGCCCCAGGTGAGCCCCTTCCTTCTGCCAGAGAGGAGGGCCTGGCTGTGACCTAGCACATGGGGGCCGGCACACAGGGTCACCAAGGACACCTCCTCTCTAGAGCCCTCCTCACCCCCTCACTTAACTGCAGAATTAGCACCAGGCCAAGCTGGAAGGGCAGATTTATGGCTAGGCCTGCCTCCCTCCATTTAACCCGAGGCCAGCCTGGGCTCCAGACACTAAATTAGATTTTTGACAATTAGAGAGACTAATGGGTACACAGCCATCCCCAGAGCCAGATATCCAGCAAGGCCATCCTGTAATATCCACCACTGGCCTGCCCGTCCTCCCAAGCTACTCTCCTTCCTCACTCTCCCGTAGGAGTGCATTTATCTCCCCCTCAAAGCCCTGTGTGTCTACAATCACTGCAATCCCGAGGGTGCCTTGGTCCCCTCTTCCTCTCTCCTTCCAGTCCCTTCCAGCTCTGGGTCTCCGCCCCTCTTGTCTTGATTCACTTGTCCTTTGACCTCCTTGCCCTCTGACTTCCTTGCCCTCAGGTCACTTCTCTCTCCAACTCCACTTTCCCAGGGCCTATCCATCTGTAATCTCTCCAGCTGCCCGGAAGGATTGCAAGCCCCTTGAGGGCAGGGACTTGTGATCTCTGGATCCTAAATGTGCAGCGCCCAGTGGTGTTTACTATTTCCTGGAATTCTTCCTCTTCTCTCTCTCTCTCTCTCTCTCTCTCTCTCTCTGTCTCTCTCTCTCTGTCTCTCTGTCTCTCTCTCTCCCCTCTCTCTCTCTCTCTGCCTCTGGATCTCTAAGCTCCTCACCCCTTGCCCCCAGCCTTCCTGGCTCTGGCCTGGGGCTGGCTCTGGCCTACCTTGTGTTGGGTCCCCTTCCCTGCGGCCCCTCAGTTCTGGCTGGTCTTGGGCTGGGCCCGTAATGAGATTGCAGTAAGTGGCATTGGGGGGAGCTGCTCATACTCACTCAGGCAGACTCATAGCTCTGTCAAGCTGATTGGTCCTGAGTGGAGGCACAAATGGCCCCCCACGGACACACTGAGATTGGTTATAAAATTACAAGCATTTGTTCTGCTGTCAGTGTCCTTCCCTCCCTCCCCTCTGCCTGCCTGCCCCGGCTCCCCACCATCCCCCACCCATATGGGTCAGTCCATATACCCTGGAGGAGCTGGCTGGGGGCCATCACAGCAGATGGGGCCAAGAGGCTGAGGCCACTGAGCTCCCCATGAGGACAGGCCTTCCTGCCTCGCCCCTGGGATCGTCACAGCTCTGGCTGGCCTCACAGTGACCTGACCCTGTGCTCAGGGTTTCCAATTCCCTGAGGGTAAGTGGGGCTGTGGGTCCCAGGGCCTCAGAAGAGAAAGCAGTGTCCCAAGGGAACAGCAGAAGCCAGGCTGGTCAGAGACACCCATCCCTCCTTCTTTCAGGTGGCCAGTACCCTGCCTGTACCTGATCTCAGGTAAGGACAAATCAACCTTCAGGAGATTATTCCCCCCACCTGCCCTGCCCTGGTCCCTGAAGTCTAGACCACACCAAAAGGCAAGTGTGGCCACCAGAGCCTTGCTCTTTTCCTTGTGTATAATTTGAGCCTCCCAGCATGGTTCCCCCCCGACACCTTCGGGGGCCTTGGACAAAGACCCAGTTACCCCAAAACAGGTGTGCCCCAAAGTCCTGCTCCATGCTCTGTTCTGCTTGCACAGAGAAGCCCACCCTTCCAGGCCCTGCACCCTGCCTGAGGCACAAGTCACTCTTTTTCTTGCACCCTGGCATTAAAGCCTCCTTCCTATCCTTGTTTCTCCACTTCAGACTCTACCTGGACCCTGGCCCTTGACCAGTCCCACCTCCAGTCTCAGTCCCTTTCTGTCTACCAGGGTGCACTGACACCAGCATGGGGGAAATGGTGCGGAGGAGAGTGTTCCCCAGTTCAGAGGGGAGCGGTGCCTCCTGGATGCTGGCTACAAGGTGCCTTCTTGCTGTCCGTCTATCATTCGTTTTCAGTCCAGGATGTATTTGCTGTAATTACATCTTTAATTAGGGTGGTGACGGCTCATTGTTCACCAACAATGATGGATCGGATCCTCCTGCTTGCCATCCTCCCTCTGTCCAGCACCCTCCATGTCAGCTCTCCCCCAACCTTGTGGGTGGGAAGGATACTCAAGAGCCAACTGTCTTCCCACTGAGTTCCAGACACTGAGGCCTGGAGCAGCTGTAAGCTCTACCCCAAGGGTGACAGTGTCTTCTTGGATCCCTGGAGGTTTCCAAGGGACTGGCCTCTCCCTAACACCATGCACCCAAGACTTCCTACAGAAAGGCTGCAGGTCTCCTATTGGCCACCAGATGTCTCCTTGGCCCAAGTAAGCCAGGCTTTGCCTTTCCCAGACACCCTCTGCCCTACACATACTGTGTCCCTTACACAGGCCACTTCACACACCACCAACCCCACCTTCCTCTCCTGCAGATCTTACAGGTAGCTCTATCTCCAAGGTCCTCTGTGAATTAATCAGGAACTCTGACCAGGGTGGGGACTCCATTCCCACCACATCCACAACCACACAGGCAGGTCCCTAGGCCCAAGGCTACAGGCCATGGGTATTCAGGGACGAGTAAGTGAATAGAACCATGAGAAAAAAATAAGCACTCCTCATTGGAGGCCATGCTGAGCAGGGACCCAGGTGGGCAGGTAGTGAAGGCCCAGGAATCTCAAGGAGGCTTATGGGGGTAAGAACCCTAATCTGAGTTAAAACCCTAGCTTGACACCTATTGGCTGGGTGACATTGAGTGAGTTCTCTGTCCTTTGTTTCCTCACTTATAAAATGTGGATGGAGGGATTGGGGTGTGGTAGTATACGTCTAGAACTCCAGTGACTTGACTGAGGCAGAAGGATGGCAAGTTTGAGGCCAAACCCAGACCAGCCTCAGCAACTCAGTGAGCCCCTGCTGCAAAATAAAAATAAAGGGCTGGGAATGTAGCTCCATAATAAGTGTCCCTGAGTTCATCCCCAGCACCACAAAAGTAAATAAAATGGGGATGAG